ATGATCAGGTAGACTTGTAAGTAATAGATAAATAAAAATGAGACAAAAATAACTTGTCTTACTAAATGTTCATCAAAGACCAAGAGAGGCCAATGTAAGAAATTTCAACAAGGAATTAAAATAGTACAGAGGCACTGATAGTTTGTTAATATATTGTATGGTGAGAGTGAGATCCTAATTTATGAACTGTTAATGAATACTAGACTAATTTTTTTGTAGATATTGATCACCCTATTTTTCTTGCTTTTGGACGACAAAGGTTCACCTTTGAGTTCATTTTATACTCTGTGGATTCTCTAAATTGTTGTATTATACTCAGGTGACCGTTAAGGCCCTTGGGCCTCTTGTTTTAAATTGCATTTAAATCAAGACGCCTATATTTAAAAAAGTGTTCTAAAAAATTTAAGTAAAATCTTTCAAAATGTTCATAAGCTTAACAGAAGAAACGTTTAATATGTAATAAAAAACAATAAATGTTCCATTCTGTTAGTTGGACCTGCAATAGTAAATAATGCTCATATCTATGTTATTAATTTTAAATTCAGCAAAATCGAAATCAAACCAATATTAAAATTATAAACAGCTAGCCAATCATTTAGCAGTAATATTGATTATGGTTTATAATGTGCAGCCGCAGAACCATACTGCAAATTCTTTCAGGAACCTATTGACTAATTCTACACAAAAAGTGTAATATGAAAAATCTGTTGGTTACCTGTTTCATTGGTATCTTCTTTGCTATATCCGAAGCTGACATTGTTTCCCGAAAATACACACCAAAACTGGAATTTCATAATAAAATATCAAATAAAGAACTTCTGGGTGAAAACAACTCTCAATCGTTGATAGAGTGTTCTGCGAAGTGTCAAAGGGTGTGTGGTATCTTTGGATTTAAAGGTGATTTAAAGAAGTGTCGAACCCATAAAAAGATAAATATGTCCGAAATGTCCGATACGGCCGGGAATTGGCGATACTATTTTCATGACTGTATGTATTATTATTATTATTATTATTTTATTCTGGTTTGACACACCTTAAAAAACTTTATAATGTTCATTTTGCACAATTTTCAGGTTGAAGAGGTCCGTGTGTATTTATACTGCTTGTGTATTTAGCTTGATTAATTTAAAAAAAAAACTAGCTTATCTTCTTTGATCATTTTTATTCCAGGTCAAAATTAATTTATATGATATTCCTGCGTCATTATTTCTTCTATTTTGAGTACGATTTATATATTTGTTTGGCTTGCAATAATATCCTTATCTTTACATTCCTTTAAAATTTACACGGGACAAACTTTGATAGAAATACAAAGTATAAAGTTTATCCCGTACATATATCATACTGAGCCACTAGAAAATTATTGTTGGGAATCAACTTGAAGTGCAAATTCACAAATTAATAATAGATTACTAACATACGGAAGCGTATTAGGGCCATTTTGGCACTTTATTTTTTTTAATTTCTACACTTTAATCCGTAAAATTTACACTTTAATGTGCAAAATTTACAGTTTAATCCGTAAATTTTACACTTTAGTCTTTAAATTTTACACTTTAATCTGTAAATGTTACAGATTAAAGTGTAAAATTTACACATAAATCTGTAAAAATAACACTTTAGTGTGTAAACTTTACACTTTATCGTGTAAAATTTACACTTTAATCTGTAAAATTTACACTTTAATCTGTAAAATTTACACTTTAATCTGTAAAATTTACACTTTAATCTATAAAATTTACACTTCAATCTGTAAAATTTACACTTCAATCTGTAAAATTTACACTTTAATCTGTAAAATTTACACTTTAATCTGTAAAATGTACACTTTAATTTGTACATTTTACACATTAAACAGAAAAACTTGTTCTGTAATCTGTAATAATCGAACGGTCGTTTCATTGTGTTATACCTATGACATTTGAAAAATAGTATAAAAGTGAGATGTTCACAAGTGTTTGCATAAAAGTTTATACATGTATACATGATAAGTAAGGATGGGCGATTTGCCCATGGGCCTCGTAATTTTCCCCAGCAAAATCTCGGGAATCTGCTTTCAATCCAGTATATTTCTTTAGTACTATAGTAAAGAGCAACGAACAGTAAAATATATATCTCAGATATTTTTTGTCTTCTCATTTGCAGTTAAGATTGATATACAAGTTTATGAGTCTATGATCATGATGTAAAATACAACAGTTAAAATTACGGTCATTATAGAACTTAACAATAAAGAAAAATCATTTAATCAAAGGACACTAATTTCTATCCTGTTCCAAATTAATATAAACTCATATACTTTAATTATTTATGCATGTATATACTTTAATAATTAATACATTAATTGGTTATTTAAAAATTTTCAATTCAATAGGTAATTCAATTGTTGCCCGTAATACATGTAAAATGTAATTCAATTAATGCTATCAACAATTGAACTGCTGAGCGCATCAAATGAATTTGGGTACAATGATATCAATATCATATTCATTGATCAATGAGAAGATATGTGTGTTTGATTTGCTCTTCACTGCCACAGAATTTATAATTCTTTCAAATATTCTATGAAAGTCTTACTTATATCAGTCATACTAGATTTCTTATTATTTATATTATATCCATACATATAATATCTGATAGTACTAAAGTTCCACTTTATTGTTAATAAGAAATCAAAATTAAAATTTATCATGCAGGATTCATGATCTGTTGGCTTTAAAGCGTGTAGCTTAAGATGTATGAAATTGTCAAATTGGTTATGTGATTTAAACAGATGAAAGTGTAAATTATACAGATTAAAGAGTAAAATTTACAGATTATAGTGTAAATTTTACAGATTAAAGTGTAAAATTTACAGATTAAAGTTTAAAATTTACAGATTAATGTGTGGAAAATGAAAAAAAAAAAGAAAAAGAAAAAAAAAAGAAAATAGAAAGTTCCAAGTGGCACTAATACGCTTCCGTACTAACAAATATGTGACTTATATTTACGCATAAATTCAAGTGTGTGAGTCACAACTTTAATTATACTATGATTGATTAGGTGCAGTTTGACAAATTATAATATCTGAGAATAAAAAAATAAATGTTCTGAACATTTTTTTAAGCATTTAGATCATATTTATTTCCTTAGTTTTTTCCTTTGTGCTTCAATCAAGGTATACAAATCATACATTCAATTATTTTTTACGCACAACATGAAATGGAATACCAATTTTTTTTTATAAAATCAATTTGCCGAGTCACGGGATGTGATTTTTTTAAAAAAAAAAATTATATCCAGTAAGTGTTCCAGAAAGCCTCTTTATTTTGTCCTTACGAAATATAAACAGTAACGAAGGAGAAAATTCAGGATAACTGTACATCATATTAAAGAAGTAGTATTAATAGTAAATTAAATATTACGAAAAACATTTAGCAAAATTGAATTTGCAAAATGTATCAAACTCAAATGCATCAAAACGTACGGCTTTTGAAAATTTAGTCAAACACTATGAATTAAAGATCCGTATCTTTGACATCATAGACAACTGCTTCTTCAATAAAATTGGAACTCGTAAATTTACATACCTTTTCATTGGTCATATTAAAACAATATTTTGTTAATAAATCATATTAATTTTACACATATTTACTCCAAAATTGATATGAGATAATGGTGTCTCAGTTTTTCATTGACAATATTATTATAATTTTTCACATCAGGTCTTCCCATTGGTGCTTATTGTGCTTCGTCAATAGCAAACCTGTTTTTTGTTATTTATATGAAGGAAAATTTATTTAAAATGTAAACTGTGACGATAACGATCATCGATCGATCAAATTTCTGTATGAAAAGAACAAGTCTCCTGTCGTGACATTTAATTCGACCGTTATCTACATCGTCGATGCTTTATCAATTAAATCAATTAACAATCTTGGGCGGATACAGGATTTGTGATTAGGGGGGGGGGGGCGTGGATAACTTCGTTCAGGCAGGGGGTCTGGGGGCCGCCTTAAGGCCCCGAGTGGGTCCAGGGCTAAGCCCCCGGAAGCTCCTGGGTTTTCGTGAATTTTAAGAGTAAAACCAGACACAAAAATAGTGGTATTGATTAGTTATGTACACTACGATATTTCACTTTTTAAAAGAAAAAAACCGCATACACACACACACACACACAAACAAACCAAAAAACAACTAACAAACAAGATCAGATTTTAAAAATAGCATTTTACCTAGATATACAAGAAGTCACAAAAATCAGAATGTTTTGCAAAGTACCGTGGTGTAATTTCGACCGATTATTTTTTTTTACATTTAGATTTGTTCAAGTATGTCACTGCGTATTACATGTATTACGCTCAACTTTTACTGGATCCATTTTCCTTCGGAATACCTTTTATTGTTCAGATTACATTGTATTATTGTATGTATTATTCGTCATGATATAAAATAAATGTGTTCGATTTACAAGACATGCATGTTGGGTAACTTCGACCGCACACGGGGTATTTTCGATCGATGTGCAAATATAAACGAAATTATTCGCGTCACCTAATTTATATATATATATATATATATATATATATATATATATATATATATATATATATATATATATATATATATATATATATATATATATATATATATATTGATTTAAATTATTCTGTTGTAAAACATAAAAGATTGTGAAAAAATGCTGACAAAAAAAAGAAGTAACTTTCAAAATGTACCTAATTTGAAGACATGAAGTGCACCAGGTGCCCAGAGACTGATTTACCGATTTGTCAAGGCATGCTACAAATGTATATATATGCGCAGGCATCTAAACCGCATGTAAACAGAACAGATGATTTTTTCACTGTTATAGAACTAGTTTCTAGGGAGTATTCTTGTACATAATACCTATCCTAATATTTTTTAATACGGACGGTCGTCATGATTTTTTTCTGGTAACAAGTAGAATTGCTTCTTTTTTATTGGTCGAACTGAGTTACCTGCTGACGCCGTATTCATGCATGGGTAACTTCGGCCGATTTCTGTTCAGCTGATTTGCATTTTATTTGTAAAAACTAAATATTATAAATTAAAAAGGTATGAATTTAAGTTACAAAATTAAACATAGTTGATAAATTTCACGCCAGGGATATCCACTGTGTCTTTCTATATATACAAGATATTTTCAGAGGTGATAAACTGATAATTCCCCGCAATGGTTTTAAAATACTCGTCCGTAATTTTTCAGGCGATAAAGTTTCTTCTTGGATGTAATTTTCCAGTGAAGAAATAAATTTCGCCTTTTATTATCGACATTGATTTGTAAATGAAAAATGCATTTTCTTTCTGCATAACATACATGTAGATGTATGTACACTATAATGTGTTATAAACAAATTATTTTAAGGTATTTACGAACGGTCGAAATTAACCAGGTGGTCGAAGTTACACCATCCTAACCTATATCCTGACGTTAAATTCCATTTAGGCCTATATGGAAAGATTATGAGATGTGTAATAAAAAAAGTCTTGTATCTATGTAAGTAAATTACTGCATAGTTACACCATTTGATAAATAAATACATCAATCAGTAGACGGGTTTGTAACGTAGACCGTCTGATTTTAAATTCATTTATTTACCTTCGACCAGCCTTTAAATATTGCAGTATTTTTCCTTGCATCATGATAGGAAATATTGACAAGTGCAGTCTACCCTTCAAACGAAATCGGGAGACGTTTTCCGGTTTGAATAATTATGAGATAATATTCATAGCCATGGGAATGCAAGGTTTTCAGACTTGATTTTTAAGAAAACCGATACTTGGTCATTAACTAAAATTACTATTTTTTAATTGACCATTAATTATAAAACCAAAATATGGCATTATCAATATTAGTCATGTCATACTTTGAAAATTTTAGGGGGGGTGCGCCCCCCACGCCCCCCTTAAATCCGCCAGTGACAATGTTATTTTCATTCGAACATTGATTCGATATATCTCATAAAAATCAAAACGAAAGACAGCATAGGCTTTGAAACGTCTTTTTATAGCTGGATTTTCATAGGAGAAAGACATTAATGACAAATTAACAACTAAGCTTCATGATTAACATTATGCCTTCAACATTCCGATTTTCAACTCTCCTTATATGATTCCACTACCAACTGCGAATGGAGTTTATGTCTTTCTGATGATTTCAAACGCAAGAGAATGTTTCTTCGTACCACAAATTTCTAAAATGTTGCAAGCTAATGACAAATAAATTGATGATACAAGGAAAAGGACAGAAATCTCATTTAGCAAATTCTATGGTCGATACGATGATCTTAGTTGCAAACACAATCCGTCGTTAGGCTGAATGTTGACAGATTTCTACAGATTATTAGGTCATTATTTCAGCAATTATTTGATTAAGGATTTTCTCGTTTATCCGATCATGACAAGGAGCACACGGCGAATGTGACGGTCGCCTGAAAATATTTTCTTTTCCATGGCACCAGATCCAATTTCTGTTCTAGCGGTCCCTGCTGGCTATGATCACAATTTGTTCTGTTTAACTGAACTTTTGAATATAATCATTGTTCGTTTTTTTCACACGTCATACTTCATTTCAGTTGAAAGGCAATATTGTCAATCATTATATCTTATTGATGAGTGACATAAGTTTTGTTTAAATGTTCAGAATCAGCATCTGAGGCAGACGTTCGTCATATTGATTTAGTATTAAAATGTTTGTACTGAAATTTAAAATTACTCTTTACTAATGTATTAATTAACGCATTTGAATAATTGTGTATGAAACTCTTTACTAATATATTAATTAACGCATTTGAATAATTGTGTATGAAACTGAAAAAAATTTGGAAAATAAAAATAGTTAACAACATTCTACACTGCATTTCAAAGTCCAGCCCCAGCAATTTATCAATTTATCAGGGTTTATCTTGTAGGTACCTTGTACCTTTTTATTTCTTATACATTTATATAAAATTCAATTTTGGTATTCTTTCCCTCTGTTTCAGTTATCCCTATTGATTGTAAAGACCTTCGTGCAGATGGTCACACTAGTTCAGGTGTGTATGAAATCTATCCCTATGGCACCATTACCAGTCCTATCAGAGTTTACTGTGATATGGAGACAATGGACGGAGGATGGACGGTATTTTGTTTATTTATCAATCTAAAACAGAAAAAACAAAGAAACACATAAAAAAGTCGCTGTTTGTCGTGTAAATTGGAATCTGTGATTCATGGTTAAAGAGATTTTTTAAAAGACAGGAAGCATATTCCGACTTTTAATATAAACACTCATCATACAAATGCTCGTCAAATAATAACTTGATAAATGCATCATTGAAGGCAATCCAAAAAAGAGTTAATGGCACTCTGAGCTTTGAGAGGACATGGACGGACTATAAGAATGGTTTTGGTACACCGGAACAGGATGCCTGGATTGGCAAGTTTACATCTTATTAAAACTGGATCTTGAATTCATTTTCATACTTGGCAAACGATAGAAAATACTAACTTCAATTTTGAAAACGATTTCCAAGTATTGAGTAATACGTGTTCGTCGATATTTATTGAACATGAGTTATTGCAATAATCAATGAAAGTTTTATAAGAAAAAAAAAACGAGTGTGAGCAAGAGATAAAAGAAAATTCACATAGCCAGTCTTATTCAATGACATCCTTTAACTAAAATTTATAATTTTTCCTTGGAGTTTAATTACTTAAAGGTGAAAAAAAAGAAAGAAATTGGATTGTAATATGCAAGTCATTTAATTTCAATTTGCTTTAATACAGGAAATGATATAATCCATCAGTTAACAAAAGGAAATGACACATCCCTCTATGTTTCCATCACAGTACAGGATGGTAGGAAACTGTATCAGTTGTACGACAAATTCTCAGTTTCCAATGAAGCAGAAAATTACAAACTCTTTCTGGCGGGAAATCTAAAGGGAACCTTAGGTACGTTATAGGTAAAAACATAAGAGAGAAAGGAAGAGAAAGACTGTGTGTGCAGAGAGAGAGAGAGAGAGAGAGAGAGAGAGAGAGAGAGAGAGGAAAACAGGGGGAATAGAGAGAGAGAGATGAAGCGGAGAGAGAGGGGGAGAGAGTAAGAGAAATAAAGAGAGAGAGAGAGAGAGAGAGAGAGAGAGAGAGAGAGAGAGATTCATTCACAGAAAAAATTACATTTCAAACCGCGATGCAGGAGGATGTCAACTTTATCAGGGCCGTTTGAAAGGTCATTTGCAGTAAATATTATATATCACTTTTACATTTTCTATATTTTTATATCTTAAAGTGGCTCAACGTTGGTGTACTATTTGACACGACATCACTTTAGAATATATATTCCATTTGTATTATATTGTTTTCTTTAGTTTATCAATGGGCTGTTGTCAATCAAATAAATGGAAATGATCTTTACAGGATAAATTTATTCCAGTGTTATTGAAAATCAAGAAATTATCGGAATTAATGGCTGTGTAATATTTATTTCCTTTGTTATAGGTGACAGAATGCTAGATACTGGAGATCCTCGATTTAATCTCTCTGGGACGTACTTTAGTACGTTAGATAGAGACAATGACAAGTGGAGCGGAGTAAGCTGTGCTGCTTACCAAAAAGGAGGTTGGTGGTCAAGTGAATGTCATAGCGCCTTTCTTAATGGTCCCTGGACCTCGAACTGGTGGGCTCCATGGCCTCCTACAGTAACATCCGGGGCATCTGTGACAGGGACGATGATGCTGATTAAACGTCACTAGGTATGTCATTCATTCTTAATGTATATTATTTATTGCAGAATATTTTCATGAAAAATTAAGTGAATATGATTTATTTTATATATTCCGTGGTCGGGATTTTCTCTAAAATACTATTTCACCTGTTTATGATTTACAGATGAAGATTTAGAAAAAGGGGAGTTGTACGAACTGATTTCCATGGGACTTTTCTCTGGACAATTAACGATGTTAAATCTATTGTGACAACATATTACTTTTGCTACTATGTTAATGACTGTTGTGTCTGTTATCGATTGATTTAGAATCAAGTACAGGACAAGTGTTTTTTTTTTTAGATTAACAAAAATTAATATTTTTTTATATTAGCTTAATTCTATGAAAATTATGTTTGAATAAAATTAAAACTAGAAAGATTTTGGTATTATTTTCAAAATAGTCCACATTCAGATTCTTGCGCGTATATATAGGATCTCCCATGATTTGTAGTTGGATATGATTTTTATCCAACGAGTTGTGTGTTTTTTATCCCCGAGCCTTGGCGAGGGGATAAAAACACACAACGAGTTGGATAAAAGTCATATCCAACTACAAATCATGGGAGATTCTTTTTATCCCATGTTTAATACTTCACAACCAATGTTTTACACTGTTTTATATAGATCTCCACTTTATTTTACTTCATCGCGCTAACGCAAAAACCATTGTGACGTCACAACTGTGGATTATGAAAAATTTATCCAATGAGTCATATCCACGGGATAAAGGGGTAAACATGGGATAAATATAGGATCTCCCTTGATTTGTAGTTGGATATGATTTTTATCCAACGAGTTGTGTGTTTTTTTTATCCCCGAGCCTTGGCGAGGGGTTAAAAACACACAACGAGTTGGATAAAAGTCATATCCAACTACAAATCATGGAAGATTCTTTTTATCCCATGTTTAATACTTCACAACCAATGTTTTACACTGTTTTATATAGGACTCCACTTTATTTTTCTTCATCGCGCTAACGCAAAAACCATTGTGACGTCACAACTGTGGATTATGAAAAATTTATCCAATGAATCATATCCACGGGATAAAGGGGTAAACATGGGATAAAATTATATATTAGAGACCGAAACACCAAAAAGCTTTATATTGCATAATTACGTTATTTTTTGTCCTGAGAACAATATGTCTCTGATATAGAGTAAACCATTTTCTTAGAACTTTTCGACAAACCATCTTGAATGTATTAACATCATCTTATGTTACAATATTGTACACAATTCCGATCGATGAATTATTTCTACCCTTTGGATTGTGATTAATTCCTAATCAAGGAACCATGTTGTTTCACTAATCCACGTGTAGTAATTTAGTTCTACCTTAAAGACAACGATTATATCCCTATCCTTGATTTTTGGTCTCCCCCACAGGCACCATGTTTTATCCATGTCCTATTGACTATTTGTACCTATACTCCTTCTCCAGTGACCAAATCTCGCCCTTTGTGGCTATATTCTTACTTCAGGAAGTGGGCCTTCTCCCTTCTTAAAATCTATCCTATTGACTATTTGTACCTATACTCCTTCTCCAGTGACCAAATCTCGCCCTTTGTGGCTATATTCTTACTTCAGGAAGTGGGCCTTCTCCCTTCTTAAAATGTATCCTTACCCCACATATTATGATTTATTCCTACCAATTGACCATAGAATACCTGTTGTAGTTTTATCATTAAAAAACTCATTAACCAGGATATATCCTTAGCAATCTAAAGATATGATTTATTGATAAACCCCTTACCACGCAGATATTTTAAAGCTACATCCAGATATCTAACGTGACTGTACAATATGAAATCATAGTAAGCTATATGATGTAAACTTTAGAGATAAAGATTTCTTAACTCTTTCGCTGCACACGTAAATGTTCGAATGGCCAAAAATGTAACGTCATAGGTACATGGCGTTACAATAGGTGTGACGTTATTAACAAGAGGCTTATGGACAACATCACTCACCTGAGAACACTGGCTAGGAAGAAGCAGAAATCAGTTCAGTATTGAAAAGTTTTATGTGGGGAACCTAAATTTACACTACCTCATGATGCTTCTATATCAATATTACTAATCATGGCTTTGCTGTCCTAAAACAGAAGAATTTTAAAGATATTTTTCCTGTGTATCCTGTGTATGTAAAATTCTCATTGCTCAACTCTACCCACGTAAATTTGAACAAATTTGAATCTATACTACCTGAGGATGCTTCTATAATAATAACACTAATCATGGCTTTGCAGTTCTTGAGCAAAAGATTTTTTTCAAGATAATTTCTATATATTCTTATGTAAAACTTTGATCCTCTGTTGTGCCCCCAAATCCCTGAGGGGTCATTATTTGAACAAACTTGATTCTACAATATCTAAGGATGCTTCTGTATAAATATGACTTATAGTGGTTTAGTTGTTCTTGAGAAGGAGATTTTTAAAGATATTTCCTATATATTCCTATGGTAAACATTGACCCCCCTATTGTGGCCCTGCCCTATCCCCAGGGGGTCATGATTGGAACAAACTTGAATCTACACTACCTGAGGATACTTCTGTAATGATATGACTAATCATGGTTTTGGTGTTCTCAAGAAGAAGATTTTTAAAGACATTTCTTATATATTCCTATGTAAAGCTTGGACCCCCTCTTGTGCCCCCCCCCTACCCCCGGGGTTATGATATGGACAAATTTGAGTCTAGATTATATAATGAAGCATTCACATAAGTTTCATCTTTTCTTGCCAAGTGGTTATTGAGAAGATTTTTAAAAGATGCCACGTAATTTTTACGAATTCTTAATTATCTCCCCTTGAAAGAGGGCGTAGCACTACCTATGAACAAACTTGAATCCCCTTCACTCAAGGATGCTTTATGGCAAGTTTGGTTGAAATTGGCCCGGTGATTCTTGAGAAGAAGTCGAAAATGTGAAAAGTCTACATACGCCAGACAACAGAGGGACGCCGGACCGGCAATCAGATTTTGGAACGCAGTTCGCAATTCGCAATTCGCAATTCAATGTGAACTGCATTCCAGAACGCAGTTCGCAATTCAAAATTTAAACATAAGTCACGGAGTCTGAGATTTTGAGGGTAGGGTACTAGTGGTCAGTTACCACTTCTATGAAAAAATGGTGATGGTACCATCTCTAGTTTCCGAGATATAGAACTCCAGTTTTTAAGCCTACTATATAATACCATATGAATAAACATCGGGCTCGGGCACATCGAAGTCCCCTATCCCAAGGTCTGAAATTTTGAGGGTAGGGTACTAGTGGTCAGTTACCACTTCTATGAAAAAATGGTGATGGTACCATCTCTAGTTTCCGAGATATAGAACTCCAGTTTTTAAGCCTACTATATAATACCATATGAATAAAACATCGGGCTCGGGCACATCGAAGTCCCCTATCCCAAGGTCTGAAATTTTGAGGGTAGGGTACTAGTGGTCAGTTTCCACTTCTATGAAAAAATGGTGATGGTACCATCTCTAGTTTCCGAGATATAGAACTCCAGTTTTTAAGCCTACTATATAATACCATATGAATAAACATCGGGCTCGGGCACATCGAAGTCCCCTGTCCCGGGGTCTGAGATTTTGAGGGTAGGGTACTAGTGGTCAGTTACCACTTCTATGAAAAAATGGTGATGGTGCCATCTCTAGTTTCCGAGATATAGAACTCCAGTTTTTAAGCCTACTATATAATACCATATGAATAAACATCGGGCTCGGGCACATCGAAGTCCCCTGTCCCGGGGTCTGAGATTTTGAGGGTAGGGTACTAGTGGTCAGTTACCACTTCTATGAAAAAATGGTGATGGTACCATCTCTAGTTTCCGAGATATAGAACTCCAGTTTTTAAACCTACTATATAATACCATATGAATAAACATCGGGCTCGAGGACATCGAAGTCCCCTGTCCCGGAGTCTGAGATTTTGAGGGTAGGGTACTAGTGGTCAGTTACCACTTCTATGAAAAAAATGGTGATGGTACCATCTCTAGTTTCCGAGATATTGAACTCCAGTTTTTAAGCCTACTATATAATACCAAATGAATAAACATCGGGCTCGGGCACATCGAAGTCCCCTATCCCAAGGTCTGAGATTTTGAGGGTAGGGTACTAGTGGTCAGTTACCACTTCTATGAAAAAATGGTGATGGTACCATCCCTAGTTTCCGAGACACAACCCTTATTTTTTTTTTATACCTACTCTATTATACAAATTAAAGACATGGAAGACTCTGATCTCTTCAAAGTGTTTTTCAAATTTGCATATATATGCAATAAGTTTAATTAATAAATCAAGAGATAACAAGAAGAAACCTTTAAAAGTCTGTCTTTATTTATCATAGATTTGTCTGGAAAGAAGTTCACCTCTGATATCCTTTCGAACGAGAAGCATATCCATCTGAAATAATATTAAAAAAACAATTTGCCTGAAATTGCAGAAAAAAACATCATTGAACTAATTGTATATTTTACGTAAAATTGAAACAAATGCATTAAGTGTGTCTTAATTTTTTTTTTGTAATCATATCTTCAGTCGAGTCTGAGCCTTCTTTCGAGTCGGAGGTTTGAAAATTCAATACATAAGTGGCAGTGTGCTTTTCGCTTGTTAACGCAATCGATCAATGACTATTGATTTTGAAAGGACAAATTGGAAAGAAATCCTAGTGAAATATCTTTTTCCATTGTTAAGTGTAGTATGCTGATAAAATTTAGGGATGTTTGTTTTCTAGTTTTATACTGTTTTAATTATCGTCCGACTATGCCGATGCTCCAAACAATAAATTGAATCATTTCTTACCGATAAAAAAAACTTTAATTCTGGATACCTAAACATTTGAAGTAAGATGACTTACTTTCTGAAGAAACGGCAATACATCGTACTTTTGGTATACTTATTTCTGATTGTCATAAAAGTGAACACAATATTATGCACCGAAAATGAATTTAGATTAAGAGATTTCTTAACTTTATCACAAAAGAATGGCAATAAGTAAAATAACCGATAAGAAAATGCGATACTAAGTATTTTTAAGCCAAAATTTAAACTATTATTGAATAACAACCAGAGCCTTAACGGTCACTTGCGTAAAATACATCACTGTAGTGGATCTATAGAATGGTAATTTAATAACAATTCATGATTATGTATGTTGAACATGTCATGAACTAATAGATTAAGATATTCTGCTCAAAACATGAA